GGGGGGGGGGGGGGGGGGGGGGGGGGGATTAGGTTGCCAATATGCATGGTTGCCCTACAGTTTCGTACTCATGTTATTCAGCTATTCATTCAGCTGTTATTTAAAGGCTTTCAAAGGCTTTCAAGAATTTCCTGGGGGTGGGGTGTTTTTGGAAGTGGTAGGTGTTAGATATGCTTGTATGTATATGAGTAATTATGTCATAATGAATTCAGAGTAGGCGTAATTGTAATTGCATACAATCTGAGGAGCATTCCATTTCCATTTTAAGACTTTCTCCATACTATAAATCTGCAATGCTTTTAAATTCATGCAGTTTATGGCTATTGTCCAGTTGCAATTGCATACTGTGTTGTGTTTTTAAAATAATATTTAGATATGAAGCACACTCACATCATTCTCTCTACATGCCTGTCGTGAAGAGAGAAAATTGAATCTATCTTAAACAATTGACTAGCTGCATTATTTGGAGTTTGATTCCCTTTCCTCCGCAGAGGATTTTAAAGAGTTAATTTAGGAACACTTACGCCTGTATTCGTACTCTATGTGACTACTCATCCTCCAGCTATTCAAAAAACAGCATTGACACTCCAGGGAAGCTCAGATTGAACCCTCCACTCTTTGATTGTGAGCGTGAGTGAACTTTTAGAATATAGGCGTTAGGCTGCGTATCAGGCAGTATTGAGGGAGAGAGGGGGAGGCGAAGGAAAAGGAGGAGGCCTGCAAATAGAGAGAGAGGGGGGAGGGGGCCTATATACGTTTTACCATAACCTGGGGTCATCACGTATTCACGAGTCATTCATTAGGCAGTCTCACTGGATGTCTCACTAGGATAACGACAGCCAGAATATAGGTGTACATTTTGTACCAAGAGAAAAGTTATATCTATAACCTGTGTCATCGTGTATTCACGTGTACGAGTCATTCATTAGGCAGTCTCACTGGATGTCTCACTAGGATAACAACAGCTAGAATATAGGTGTACATTTGTACAAAGAGAAAAGTTATATCCTCATCGTGTATTCACGCGTGTACGAGTCATTCATTAGGCCATCTCAGTCGAGGTCCCACTAGGATAACAACAACCAGAATATAGGTGTGTATTTTGTGTATTCACGTGTACGAGTCATTAGACAGTCTCACTAGGACAACCAAAACAGGTGTACATTTCTAGTTCTACAATCAGTAGTGTAATGCCTAGTGTCTTGTTTACCTCACGTGCTGCCCGCGTGTACATATATCTGTTATTATTAATTATACTTGATTCATATCGTGAGTATCGGGAAAATTACAAATGTACAGAGGAGCAAAGTATAGAGGGGAAACACCTGCTATGCAAGCTGGTACTTGTACATTTGTAAATCGTACGTTTTGTCATTTGGGATCACAGAAATTGGCCAAAAGCTGTTGTGATTTTCTGTCACAATTTGTAATGCATTTCATTATTATTATTTGTTATGTTTTCTTGTGACAAAGCTTGTAAAAATAAAAATTAATAGAGCATATATCTCTGTTATTGTTAATCAGAATTTGCATGATTCATATAATGATTAATGAGTTGTGTTCATCATAGTAAAAATCGAACACTATCTCATTGATTCATATCTTGGAATCAGGAAACTTCTAGCTCGAAAATTCTGATTCAAATCTGATTGCAATCAGCATCTTCAGTACTGATGATATCGAGTCAATGAATGAATGAATGAATAATAATATTTATTCAGGAAACCAACATCACAAGAAGTGTTTTTCAGATGGTTCCTGCAAAACATTAAAATACAAAGTTTACAATAGTATATAGAGTGTGCATGCAGTATTTGCATATTAGTATATAGATATATATGATATACCAGAAAAATTATGAGACTATGCTAGGATACATGATGCTATACATATTTACAAGGATACAAAGAGTTATTAAGTTATATTTTAAATATACTGTATGAGTAAATCAAAATAGAAATGCATACTGAAAAAGTAGTTTTCATAGTTTATCAAAGTAAAAAAACAAGCAAATGAATTTATAGCTACAGCAAGATGGATTTCTACATAGAACATCTTTGATAGTTTTTCTATTTGAAATTTCAATGCATGCACGCTTGTTTCATTGTAGGACATTAAAATTATGATGCGTCATTCGCAACGAATTATTCTTGGCACGTGCATGAAAATCCCATTCAAAGATAAGGCTTGCCTCCTCGTGAGGTTTCAAGAGTACAAGGATATGTCATTAACATAACCATGCACTTATCATCAGTTGCGAGTGCAAATAAAAGCCATGATACTCAGACTTAGATATAGGTTTATAAATTATGCAACTTTTGACTTGAAATTTCGATAAATATAGATCGTGTTGAAGCCGAAACCAGTTTTTTAGTTCTATTGAAGTTTCTTTGAAGTACAGTTTAGGTCGTGGTTTTAGTTAGTGTGAACTAGACTTCAGGCCTGTGTATATATGGACCCGATGCACATCGCCCGTACTCTGCTTTTTTCCTGTTCTTAAAACTAAACCGATTAAGGGATGATTTTTATTGAACATCTAGGGTGATCTAGAGCTATCCAGAACATTCTAGAGCTATCCAGCATAAATGAAGTTAGATTATACATCCAATATAAGCCGGAATATGGATATCAAGTGCTAGTGAACATGAGGAAAAGACGTTAGAAATCAATCTCGAAGATCTGTGCCAGTGTGGGTAGCGATGATAACACGACAGCTGCTTATTGAGATACAACTACCTGAAAAATGCTTGTTTGATGTTACTCTGAGTGCATATCCACACCGGGCAGGCCTTAAAAAATATGCCTGGCCACGGTGGGATTCGAACCTACGACCTTTGGAATACTAGCCCAATGCTCTGCCAACTTCTTATTCACCCGAGTACATTACACCAACACAGTAAATACCTGAAAAATATAACCAGAACTTCGGCGCTTTGGATGGAATCTGACCAACAGGGACGGAGGGACTGGGGCATTTTTCGTGACAAAGCAAAAAAAGTATTAGAGACAAAGTGAGATACAGTAATTTGAGTAATAACATCATCATAAGCGAACTGTGAACAACAACTACAATTCAAATATAGTAGTCAAGCAAGACTTTGCAGTAGTCAAGCAAGTTGATGGGCAGGCGGCACACATGACCGACACAACTCGGCACCAGAGCTGGCAGAGCATCCCCCCCCCCCCCCCATCATGCTGGATCCATCCCTGCTAACTAACTTCCCGACAAAGACCCTTTGTTCGCTTGAAATGTCGAAGGTGTCACTCAAATATTTACTTTTTTTCTTCCTATCCAATTCATGTTTTGGCGACTATGAAAACCATTTGCGGATTGGAATTCAATAATTTTCCGACTATACCTGACGACCCCCACTTTAGCGCCGCCCCTCATCGTTCTTTAACATTTGAAGTGATTTATGCTTCTTGTGTCCAAACATTCTGTCATATTTTTTTTATTTGCTTCCTTCACCGGTGGTAAACAGCTATATTATTGAGGCTAGTGAGATAACCACCCGGCGTTGGGTAAATTGGTGAAGAACAGTCCCTCCATAGGTATGCATGTGATATCCTATTATCCAGAATTCTTTCAAATATGTTTCGGCAACTGGTTAAAAAGCGGAAGAATATTCTTCCAAGTATAAACTATTACAACGCCTTTTTGAATTCAAAGAATGCTATAGAATGCACTTAGATAAGTGAAGCAATTAAGTTTTTTTATAAAGACCGTAATTACCTGTTTTCCAGGTAGAGAAGTTAAGACGATAATGAGTGCATTGTATTTTATTAATAGGACACCACTATGTCTATGTCGCCTAATCTGTTGTGATTTCTGTCTGAACTTCGACGTTTCAAGCGGAAGGCATTTGTCAGGAAACGACCAATCTCCACCCCTCCAAATATGTTCAAATGTACATCGAAAACAGTCAAATGTTCGAAGAGGTTATTTCGCTGGCCTCAGAGTGACAAAACGTAACAAAAGAAACGGTTTTACTAACACTAACCCTATTCCAAATACCAACTCTAATCCTAACCTAACCTAACCCTACTCCAAGTTTGTTTCTAAACCAATCTTGAAAAAAAAAAGTTTTGACGAAATGTCATTCTGAAGTGTCAGCGAAATAACTTCTTCCTTGAATATTCGAAAAGTAATTAGTTTCGCAATTAGACTAAATTTTGATGTAGACAAAATTTCATCACAGCTTGAAAGAGCATCACAAAATTAGTAATATTCCAAAGTTTCGTTGCGAAATGTTGTAAAATGCGGATAATATAGCCCTGCGAAGTTTGCCGTTTTTCAGTCATTTGGTATTACAAACGGGAAATTGATAATCAGATGATCAAACTGATGCAAAATGTTAGATTGTAATGCAAAATGACTGAAAAACGGCAAACTTCGCAAGGCTATATATTATCCGCATTTTACAACATTTCGCAACGAAACTTGATAATAATAATAATAATAGCTTTATTCATCCATCTTAAGATAAAAAAGTACAATGGACTTACAATTACTTGTTTAAGAAAGTATATATGCTGTGGGTATGTCTTTATATTACAAATTGTTGTAAGATAACTTAGAAAACTAACTAAGAAGTTAAAACTAATAAGTTCTTTAAACTAATAAGTTCTTCCAATAAGTTAAAATTATTTATACATATTTACAAGCTCTTCCTGAAAAAGAATGTTTATGCCTTTCAGTTCCTGAGAAGAATGATATATTGCGATTCCGGTCAATGTTCCTTAAATAGTACCGATTGTTAATTAATTTTGGTAAAACACTGCGACAGGGATGGTTTGGATCGTTCATAAACCTATCAACTTCTCGACTAGTTGCCTCTTCCCTTCTTTCGTTCAGCGGTGGTAGGTAATCTTTTTCCAGGCCAAGGATTCTTAAGCTCCTGGATTGAACCCGCTCTATTTCATCTCGCAGGTAATTAGGCAGTCCCGCCCAGACAGGTGATGCATACTCGAGAATTGGTCTTATTTTGGATTGATAGGTAATAATACCGACTTCAGCTGGTAACTGCGATTTCCTGCATTCTCTAAGATGGTAAAGGCGTTTATTTGCTTTACGTGTAATCTCTTCAACATGTGCGTTCCAAACTTCGGAATACTACTAATTTTGTGATGCTCTTTCAAGCTTGCCCAGGCATATCTAGATCAAAATTTCACTCATAATGGGAAAGGTCTATAGCTGGTGTGAACCAGGTTTTAAATAGAAAACATGATAGTGTTGGGAAAGCAATTCGGCCAACCAAGGTCGCGTGCGTGCCAAATCTCGTGCATTGTCCGCACTCTCATCTTCGTATGATCCGGGCTTACGCAATTCCGGATCCGCGCTTATCCCACGCACACATACCGATCGATAGATGCTTCAGATTTGAATTTCACCCAAAACAGTACACTGTCTTGTTTAAAGTAGAACACATTTTTATATGGACAGGAAAAAATGTAAAAATCATAATGTAATGTAATTACCATTCATCTAGAAATACTTAACCTCACCTCCGATGGTAATTACACGTAGCTTAGTTGGGCGGACTTTAGCCGATGATGGGTAGATCGCATATTAACACATATGACCCTAAAACCCAGTCTTCAATTTGGTCATTTTACAGTCGTGAGCTTGTCAAGCTGATTGATGTGTGTCAATATATTCCTGTAATCAATAACGACTTATCTGCAGCACACAAGCTAAGACCAAATGGAAGGCAAGCTAAATATAGCCGGTCAAAGATTGGGTAACAACCACTTCAGACAAAAACATGATATTGATAGCGGCATAAACCACAGACTTAACTCATCACCGGTTTTACAGATATAAGCATAATCACGCCGGACGTGACCATATTACAGATCTTGGAAAATTCGGTTTAAGTTTTAGAAAGATAAAGGGAAAACGGAAATTCTGTTATAAGCCCATTGTACGTACAACATGTACGTACAACAATCACTCACGTTATCCGGTGGATTCGGCTAAAACGGAATCAGTTGATCTATATATATACATGGAACAACCAAATTAACACTTTTAACCCTAACTGAAGACTCTTTTCCACTAATCGCTATAACACCAACTCGCTGCGAGCGGTTTCATCCAATCGCAATGCTCGACAGTTTATTTTAATTAGATGCAAGTACTTTGGGCGAATTCGGCATACATAATACAAATATTTCAATCAAGTCATTCCCAAGATGTGTGGGACTGTTTTTCAATTTGTTTAATTTTAGCCTCTGGTTTGAACCGTCGACCTGAATGTTTATACATGTAACTACTGATAGAATCGTTGTACAGTTGTGTGTTATAAATTACGTCATAGGTCGTGGGTGTACCAAGTAGTGACGTATTTTAAACATGTTATTATTATTTACTGAAAATTATGTGATGCACGTCCTGCGCGGTTGATTTCTACGGAGGTAACTAAGGCAGCGTTTTACACTGTACCGTTTTCGTAGCGTTCTCGTATTGTTCGAGAGAACTAAACTATTATCTTGCGTTCCCTTGAGGATTAAGAACAATACGAGAACGCTACGAAAACGGTACAGTGTAAACGCTGTTTAAGCATTAGAATTCTGTGTGAGAGTTGTTGACTCATGCCTAGGTCATTCTAAAACTTACAGTAAGTTAGCCTGTTCTAGTGTATAGTGAATTGGGGGTATAATCAAACGTTAGTCAAATGTATCCGCAATAGAAACACCAGACGGAAAACGAATCCTAGTTAAAAATATTGCCCAGCAAATAATTCGTTGGGCAATAATATTTTTAACTAGGATTAGTCAAATTTGTCCATATACGCGAGGGTTGGAATTAGGTTTTGAGAATGTTGATTTTAATATAGAGAAGAAATTGCTTCGAGCAAACTTTGAACTGAAATATTGCGAGCTGAGCATTTGCTGTATTATATCAGCGAGTCTAGATAAAAGTAATTAAGTTGTATAGAAAGACTATAAATACGCCAACAGCAACGTAGTTTAAAACAAGACACTTCATCGTAATAATTTATGGCAGGCCATGTAACCATATTACAAAAACCTGGTTTGAAATGATAGAGGTCTACGATATCCACCCACATATGAGCGTCAGGAACATCAGGCAAAGTTAGAAAAACGTGTGTACATGACGTACAAGGTCAAGGTAGGCCTAATGTATGTACGCAAATATACGATCATGCAAAATGATATCACAAACCTTATGTTTATGTAGAGATTAGTTCAAGCGTGTTTCAAACAAATAAAGTGGAGTGAAGCATTTTGAGAAGTAGACAAAGGTTATGCAATGATATAGTTCAAAACAAGGGGATAGCCCCTTCACAAGTGTTGAACAAAGTTATACGTGTCCGCCTTTTCAATGCTTGCTAAAACGTTGAGTGAAATCACGTTTGAATTAAGTATCTATAGTATAGACTTAATTTCGCTATGATTAAAGGTAGATCAATATTATACTTGGCAAACAACATATCACACAGGACAGCCAAATCTCGCACGTCTGCTCCAACACGTGTTAGAAAAGACAGACACCTAACTTGACCCTGCGCTAAACAAGCGCCTATATATAGCTATGGCCCGTTGTCTTATAATTTTGTGGGTGGATTGAGTGTAACCCTCGTCCGAACTCCGAAGACGTGCATGGTTGAGTATGTAGGTTGGGAAATCGTGACTTTCCGTTTTTTTTGACGACGCACACCGAACGCGATTCGATAAAAGGTGGGGAGATTTTTCAGTTTTTGAAAGCTATTAAAACAGCCAATGAAAGGAAATTTTAAAAGATATGTGGACCAAATAACTCGAAATGTTATAGCGCTTCTAAATATTTGAAAAACGCAACAAGGATCAAAGTTATCGGTCAGTGAAAATTGAGAAATTGCGTCGCGTTGTCGAATCGCGTCCAGTGCTGTCTCGGCCTTACGGCCCCCATGTAGTTACCGCAATACAGGGTTTCAGGAATACTTTAACACTTAAAATGACGAATTAATAATAGTACGAAGTAAAACGAAATCTATTTGAAGAGGACACTTTGGTGGAAACTGATTACTCCTACACGTTGCTGTCGTAACAAGCGAATCTGGTATCGTGTACCTATAGTGTCTATACTCTAATATCCGGTCTACCTTAAGTCGTTTGCACTGCAAATAATGAGTAAAATATAGTGCATCCATGCAATGACTCATAATTTTGAGTAAAATTACTCAATTATATATACGACCCAAATTTGTTTTAGGAAAGTTTCAAATTTACTTGATTTTGACTATAAAATGACGAATATTGTGGGTGCGTTATTTTATTCACGTTTTTGAGACATTTTTGCAATGCGTCTGGTATGGTCTGGTTCAAGCGTGATTTGAGTCAACGTTAAAGAATAAAGTACGTTATTTTCAAAACAAGTGAGCTATGCATCTACGAACATGTGTGCAGGGCAAACGTGCGAAATGTGCCGCGCTTCCTATCCCGTGTGAATACATGATCGTGATAGGCTACATCACCATTGTTTATCAGTTTTGTTAAGTACACTGAAATATCGATGTTTAATTATAGTGCAAATGAGATGGCAAACACATATTCAGAGCGATATTGATTCAGAGGTGATTTTGGATTTTCAGCCGACGTTCTAGCAAACGAAACGTGCAAAGCATTGACGGACGAGGGTTACACTCAACCACCCACAAATTATAAAACAAAGGGCTAGGCCTAGGGTGTAGTTTAGTGTAGGGTCAAGTTAGGTGTCTGCCTTTTACGTGTTTAGGGCAGACATGCGAGATTTACTGTCGTGTGTGATATGTTGTTTCCCAGGTATAATATTGATCTACCTTTAATCATACCGAAATTAAGTCTACACTATAGATACTTAATTCAAACGTGATTTCACTCAACGTTTTAACAAATCATTGAGAGAGAGAGTTTATTTTTCTGTAGTATACAAACAAAACCCACCCACATCATTTCAGAACAACTGAGAGGTCAAGCCCTCATGTATTGTTTGAGCAGGAGCATAGATCTTTTCTTGAGAACGTGCACTGCACTTTTTATATACGTGTTGAATGGCATACATGCTATAAATTACCGTGCGATTTGTAAACGTGACGCGTTGTTGATTTGCTTGAGAAATTATAACTCATTTTAATGTTATATCGTTGATCTACGACCGCAGACACCGCAGACTTGCGAGATGTTGTCCCAATCTCTTAGGGGGAAAATTCTTTAAACCGGTGTTTATAGCAAATAATACGAGCAATGCCAATGCCAAAGCATGTATAACAGTAAAATTAGATGTCCGTTAAAAAGGCTTAACCCACATCATTTCAAAATAAGGGGGCTATAGACTCTTCTAAAATGCCAGGAAAAATTTGATCTATAAAGTCAATACCCAGTTTATCAGATAAAACGAGAAGAAGCCAAGCCTTGGCAGTAGAGAAATTTGGCTAACGTTGTTTTAGATAATTCACATGCCTAGTTACTGTTGTTCTAGTTTATAGAAACGTAGAATAGAACCGAAAATAACTAATCACTGGCATGTCAATAATTCTGAAGCCACCTATACTAGTTACCTTTGTTCTATTCTGTGCTTTTGTATCTAGAACAATGATATTTTGGCATGTGAGCTCTCTATGGTACAGTCAAGCGTATAATAAAATGAAATTAGAAAGACACTTATGAAAGCTACACCCACCCACATGCATGATTTCAAAACTACAGGGTAGCCCCTGATTAAGTGCTAGGAAATTTTCATATATTATATGATACATCGAGTCGGTGTTTTTTAACCTCATGGGGCGAATTATTGCAATTAAAATATAAAACAAAAATCGAGCAATGAAAACACTTTGAAACCCGAGATATTGACTAAAACAAGACGAACTTTAAATGGTTTAGTTAAAAATGGTTTAGTTAAAAATGGTTTAGTTAAAAATGGTTTAGTTAATCATTTTTTAAATTTTGTTTTATATTTTCTTTTCTTAATTAAACATCTGCTAGTTCTATCTGGCATTTTGAATTATTACAAGGCCATATATAGTTAATTTAATATAGCATAATATCAGGATTTTTGGGCATCCTCTACACTCGATATTTATATCAAACTAATTTGTAGAAGGGTTGTAATAAATGTATAAAGTTCATATGACTGGCAATTAATATGGTATATAATTCCAGGTAGAGTTTCGTTTAATAATGAATAGTAATCATATGTAGATATCTATATGTATAATATGCCGAGTAAACCACCCACATGGGGGGTTTGCTTGGAAAAGTTGCACGTCTTCGTTACACACGTTTTTGGAAACGTGCATGGTGTAGGTTTATAGTGTGAAGAATCGTGACTGGTTTATTTTGTCGAAAAATGACGAGCACAGTATCAGCGCGATCCAGAGATCTAGATTCAGATTAAGCAACGTGCCACTACGACTCAGCATTCTAGCGAAATACAGTGAACAAGGCATTAAATATGCATGTTACTTGTTTTTATTTTACATAATGTCTCGTCACAATGCAATAAAGTGGGGGCGGAGACTCGGAGCTTAAAATAGCTCGTTTTCATGTCAACACGTCAAAAATTTAATTGCGAAGCCGGAAAATATGCTGTTTGACGGGTGGTCAAAAGACAGACGAAAACAATGTGTGTTTAGTCAGTAGCCAGCAGCCGAGACGACAACAGCGCAGTGAGCTTCGAGAAGAAAGAACTATAAAGGAATATATATAGCTCTATATATATTATACATTGTGAGGTCAAGAAATACAACACATCCAGTGAAGAATAGTATTTATATACTCAAACAAGATCAGATACTCGCATATCCAAGGAATTCGATTACCTACCCTTTTGAAAATGGAATTGATTGGTCGCAACGACAGCGTGGAAAGCGTTTTACAAAAGGACAGACGTTCATACAGTATGGGAGATTCAGACAGCATGAAACCAACAGCTAAAGCGAGACGTAGACCTTCTGTGGGGCTCCTTGCTGAAGTATTGGGCGACTACGCGCGGCATGAAGAAGAGACGACGCTGAATCGACAACGATACGAAGAAGCCATGTTGAATGTCTTCGGAAGCAAGGGTGTAATAACACCGCAGTCTGAACACACGGGGCCCACTCTACCCCTGCCCTCCCTCTGCTCAGAACACCTTTCCAACCCACATTTTGCTTTCTACATGGGAATCATCGCGAAGTAATCCAAACCGCTTTGTGTATGTTTGAGACCATGCTTTGAAAGAGCGATGAATGAACATTATGGATTCAACCCTCATATGGATCTAGCAAGAACTATGCAACAATAGTCTAATTCAACTGAACTACTCCTTTATTTTGGAGTTGAACTTGTTAGAAGTAAATGAAACTTTGAATTTGAAATCGATAGCATATATGACATTCACATGCATACAAACGTTTATTTTGCTTTCACAACAGAACTCTACAACGCCTTTTGTTTATAAATTGTCTAGAATCTTTGGGCGCACAATCCCAAATATTCGTGTGTGGTTGTGAATATACAGTCTAAGTATACAGATAATCGATTCTCATAATTTTAGCTTGTGTAAACATTCCCTCTCAGAACATCTGGCAGAGTTTTATTTTCATACTTAGAACTTGTATGTAAGATATGTATATATATATAGAGAGAGAGAGAGGTTTATTTATAAGAAATTTAGGTTAACATTAATATATTGTCTATAGAGAATATGAACATATTAGGAATTGGATTGTGAATATCGTTCTTTTAATAAATCTTTGTTGACGACAGATGTGATGTATGGGTTATTTGGTTTTGGCTTGCCTGTTAACATAATGAGATTAACAGAGGAAATTTAGGACTTTAGGCTTATGTACATAAGAGAAGTATCGATTACAAAACATAAAATTTTACTCCTTTGCTTTTGGAGTTGTACAGCATGCCATCGAGCATGTATTGCAGCTTCGATAAGCTCGAACGCCTAGATTCATCGAATGAGATTCTGTGGAATTTTCTAATCCTTACCAAGCCCGCACGTCAGACTTGATGCCATGAGTCATCAGCATGAATATTAACTCTGCAAATACACTACAAAGAGTCCTATAGCGAAATGTCTTTATAAGATAATTATTTAGGCTGGAAAGACCACTTGTATAAGATATTTTTAGGCCGTGGTCGTAGATATAGCTCTATCAGTTTTCAACTGTTCTTCTGGAAGATATTCGGTTAACATTTTTAAGTGGGAATTAAATATACATGACTTTTCTACGATTGTTTATGACATATACTGTATAGGAAAATTGTTATCATGCAGCTGAATTGACTCATAAATATGGAGAGAACAAGAACAAGAAGTACAAATTTCATCATAACAGATCATTGTTTGCCTGTAAAAGATAAAGACTGAAGACAATCGTTTTATTAAGGTCCATGCAGTAAGGCTTTCTTTTATTGACTCAGTTTTCTGAGAATTGAGTAAAGGCCATCTAAAAACCTGCAGTACTTTGCAGTCTTTGGTATAGTCAGAAATACAGAATGTAAGAATCCGTGATTAACCCCTTCACAGTCGGTACATCCACTCAGTGAGCCATATAATACAAGGAAAAAAGGTGTCTGCTCTCAAGAAAATATTAGTGCGGCTTAAACCAGTTAAGATGCTTAAGATTTGGCTTTTCATTCAACCTTTCTATTTATTAGCTCAAGCTATCAGCGATCGGAACTGGTGGTCCACTTTCTCTTGATGACTGACTGATGTTTCCCCCTTATCTTGAAGTTACGTGTGGCCTAGCATCTATTAAAATCTTTAACGGGAATACGTTTAGAACTGCTGTAGGTATCCAAGTTTAGTTTAGTGAAAGGTTTTCCCTGGAGAACTATAGCGACAGGTTATAGGGCTTGCATAGCATTGCGATTACTTTGAAGTGGTCAGGAATGAACCATAACTAACAAGTAGCATGACCAATATCGCATTAGACTTAGTGTGATTTAAAGTATGAAAGAAACTCTGAATATAGAGGTTCTATTTACATCACTATCTGAGAATGACAAGGGAGACATTATTCAACAGATATAATGATGAATTTTAAATAAGTTGAAAATGTTTCTGTTAAATCTTGTCTCTTATTGTTGTTCTCAAATATTGAGTTTGAAAATCAAATTTCTATTTGGATCTCTGTATCGTATTTTATTTCATGAAGTATATATTGGCAGGCAAGGATTTTGGTATGATATAGTCTATAAAAGTTAAAACAATGTACATTTGAAATATCTGTACAACTTTGCAAGCAATTCTACTAATTTGGTCTTTGGCAAACCTAAGTAGCTTTAATCTTGTGAACGGTTTGTCAGTTTGCCAGTGAAGGTAGTGCCATGAATAATAAGAAAGTATACATGAAAAAAAAAAACTTCCGAAGGGCCTTCGCTTAAAACGACGAAATTCTCCTTGTATTTTTGAGGAATAGTTGTACCCTTATCAATCTCAAGCTTTAGAAGTAGCTAAACCGTTATATAATGTTTGCTTTAGGACATAATCAGTGACAGTTTGATGAAGAGAATCATTATGATTTCTGGTTAACTTTTTCAGTGTCATGTTCGAAGTCTTCTCTTTCTGTTCCTATGGGAATGGTTCTTAATGGAAATGGTTCTTAATGGAATGACAGTTTCAACGAGCTTAAGTCCTCAATATTGTTTTCAAGAAAACTAAATCAGAACTTCAACTCTATATATAAACTTCTAACGCGTTTTTAAGTTGTTTACCCGTTGTCGGTTCAGAGCAGCATTCAGTCAATAAAGCATAATATAATGGTGCATTGCTATTGGACAAACGCTTGCAATTGTAACAATTTTTAACACGAGGGCGTATTATTTATTTGAGTAGGAGGCTTGAGGCGTCCTTTGATAATCCAGTAAACATAACAAGGATATCAATTTGTATACTAATAATGTTTTTAGACAGTGTGTACCTTACGCCCTATATATATTTGAGCGTGTTTAACTAAAACTGGGTGCTAGTCAGTCAGTTGGGGATGAAGTGCTTCAGAGCTTCGATTCCTTCAGATTATGTAACTGATTTAATCGCATCTTTAGAAAAGAGTGCTTTTGAGCACGCTTGTTTCCTTCGCAAGTAACACAAGATATACTAGACCTGAGTAACTAGATCTTTAGCTGGAGAAGAGTTTAGAGCGAAAATGTTTATCCATGCAGTAGAGTTGCGTTTTTGTATTGAAAACAGTGGATGAGTTGCACATTTGAATATTACCTGTTGCCTGTGGCAACCTAAATAAGGATCAATGTTTTCATCGTATTCTCAAACGTCATATCTAGTGTTAGATGATAAGTTATGTAATCTTTGTAAATAAACTTCTTATAAAAAATATTCTACCTTGGAAAGTTCGATAACAATATGACAATTGTCGCAGGGTCCTTCATTGAGATTTCGAAATCTGAAGATTGTGAAATGCTATTTATGGATATTGTATAAATATTTCAGAAGGTAGCAAATCTCAATTTGAGAACTGCCTATTTTTAAATGAGCCTGAATATATAACCCCTGCCTCTTGACGTTGCTATATCACTTTTTTGTAATACTGGAAATATTTTCAGTACTGCACATTTTTACATCCAGTACTGCAGACCAGTGGCGGATGGGGGGGGGGGGGATGGGCAACCTCCTCCCAATAGTTTTTGAAATCCTTATAGCTGAATAACTTCGTAAGCTGTGACAATAATTTTTCAACCATGACAGGATTGGTAAGTTATGAATTAAGCTATATATTGCATGAATTTTAGGCAACAAAGTTGAAAGAAGTAAGTTTTCCAGCAACAAAAGGTAGTCATATCTTGGGAACCTAAATTACCCCCCGCCCCCCAATAAGTCATAAGGCGACTGCTGCAGACCGGCTTTTCAATCAATACTGCATGCACAAAGCGCAACAGACATTGATTTAAACATCTCGTTTTAATGCTATATAAGATAGCCATAAAACATTTTTCAATTTATGATCCATATTGATAAGAAACTCATCACACATACAGCTGTCGTTGTGGTCAGTTTGTTAAACCACAGCGCTGATTACTGCCACGCTGTAAAAATGTTTTTCTCCGCTGCGTTTATCTTGGATAAGAAGAATCTATAAGTGTATATGAATGAATGCCTTATTAAATCAGATTAAGGCAGCCAAACTCTGCAAGTTTTCTCTGCTTACTCTTGCTGTAGTGATATGCATGGGATATATATATTTATGTAAATAAAGTTCGTTTAGTTTATTTCAAATTATATAATTCTAGTATAACAGTATAAAGTACACAGTGTAAAGCCAGATGGCTTTAATATTTATCTTTAAAGTGCGCATTCAATCCTTAGCTACTATAGTATAACAGACAAATTAATTTTACTCCCCTCACTTTTATGAAAGATAACTTCCCCCACCTTAAGGAGTTAAGCCTTAAGGTAATCTGTCTTTGGCCTAATTTGCTGCTAATATTTGATGAATTTTTCCCCCACTTCATGCCTTTCTGCATGCCTCTTTGGGAAGATATTCTGCGCTCCTGCCCAAAATTCAGTGTGGCGGACACGCATGCACGGACAATAATAAACACATATGGCAAATCCATTCTATCCATGGTTTGTGGCACGAAATGAATGCCTGAATGATTCAAGAGGAGGAAAACTAACCTAACTTATTCATGCTGGACAATCTTTCCTTCCCTTCGTCAACTGATCAACGAACCAAGATTGTTGAAGTGAATTTCAGAGCCTATAATTAATCCCCAGAACTAAACTCAGTGTATATTTTTATCTTGATACATAAAGCAACAGTATCAATTTATATGTTATGCTCGGCTACATTTTTATGTCTTCAGACTGTCTAATAAACGGCTTCATTGTTTATCAGTCTAAGCTCGGCTTTATAATTGAAGGGGAGAAAAGATCAAACACTTCTTCAAGCCGCCTTGCATATATAATTTGAAAATGTATAGGTTATTTATAGCATGATCAGATCATCATGCTTGAAACACCTGGTGTCATGACAGTGTAAAAATTTGCATCATAATAACAACGTTAATAATATGTTCTCATATATAAATCAAAAACTATATATAGAATTCTTTGGTTTACACTCTAAAAGTTTCGCTGATCATTGTGAAAACTGAACTAACTTTATCCATGCTGGATGGCTGTTCGCTCCCGCCTTGGAGGTCTATAGTAATCCTATTCATTATATATAGTTTACTGTTAATAATAGGGAGAAATATAAAGATATAATGTTCGAGATTTAATCGCGAACGGTCTGTGCCATGAAGTGCATGAGGTAGATATAAAGATAACTGTGGATTACGAGAGACACTGGAACTACCCGAAAAATACAAGGAGAACTATAGATCTCTCTACAGAACTATGTATCTCTCGCAATACGCAAGTATTTAAACAGACTTGATAGCTCTCTTATGCAGTTTGAAGGTTTTATTTCTATTATCCCTAGTGGTCTATAGTCGAGTGACTCGAGTCTAGGACAGTTCATCCCTGATATTGATCCATTGTTACTACAGGAAATTGAAATTTGGACTCACATACACACGTTTTCCTATTCATATTGGATAGCTCTATCAGTATAGATCTAGAGATCCAGTAAGGATCATCCATTGTAGATCCCAGTGCTACCCAGGCCATGGAGGAAAATTTGGGTCAAACTGTGTTCACTCTTGTACTGTGGCTGTTCGGAACGCTGTGTAGATGGGCTCAGTTTGGTAGAGAGGTGAAGACACATGTCCCAACTACTGTGCTACCATTTTTAGTTATTACAATGAAGGACATTCAATTTTAATATTATTATTGTTTGTCGTCTACGTGCTCCAAACAGTCCATAGTTTATCCATTTTGTCCAAATATGGCACATCCTCGAGTAGCTCATGAAAACTTGTCAAGTGTTAATTCACATATGTTCAAGTTATCTTGTGACGGTATGCGAATCATGGGAATAACACTTGAGTATATTATCATGTTTTCATCTTCTGAAATAGGAAAATGTCAAGTATCCCATGCAGGTGGTACTCTCACAAGAATATTGATTGGAAATATTTTGTCATTAAAAAAATTTTGTCATTAAAAATTGCTAAATATAGGTCTTTGCATAGTACACTTTTTAAAAATCAAACGAACCCCAGCCATATACTCATGTATATAGTTACTTAATCATTAAGTGTAGTTTGGTTCAAGAAATGTCAGATTGCTCAATACCATGAAGAGAGAAGGAATATTTTAAAATATAGGTTGACTTTTCTCAAACTTTTCACTATCGATAGTTGATCCCAGATACCAGTAATAGTAATATATTCATGTATATAGTAGTTTAATCATTCAGTGTGTTTTGGTTTAAGAACTGTCAGAGAGTGCTCAATACCATAAAGATGGAGGAAATATCGTATATATTAAGAGGAAATATAGATCATAAGTGTAAGAGGCCGATCGTTTCCGGGGGTCACTCGAACGTTTGCCACTTTTTTGTGGAGAATTGTAATAAAATTACCGGGATTTAACACATTGCGATAAATTTGCCCCCAATTTCTTCATTTTCCCCAGCATTTGGCCGAATTCCCTCTAAATAGGAAGGGGGTAATTGCCCCACCCCTTGGCCCCTGTCTCGTACTCTCGTGCGCCTGACTCGTCCCACTCGGGGTGAAACCGCGATGCTATAATGAGGAACTGTAGAACAATTCGTCCGATTCCATCAGTGTTCTCACGGGAATTTGTATCGGTAATAGTATGGTCTCGAGGGGTAGCCCACAGTAGCTCGGAAGAGTGATTGCCATTGGCCTGATTTGACAATGGCTTTTGTGTTCATAACAATGAATTGCTTCGTTCTTTAGAAAACCCCCATCCAATTGGAGACGACCTTCCGAGGTACTGCGAGGCTTCCCGTCTCGAGTGCAATTTGGGAAAAAATGCACGAGTGAGTTTTTCAAAGACGATCAAAATTGCACGAGTGCGAAGGACGAGTGCAATTTGAAGTCTTTGAAAACTCACTAGTCTATATGTTTTTCCAAATTCCACGAGAAACCATACTATCACTACGTATTAATAATATACTTGAAAAAATTATGCAGTCATGTCCATGCGTAGGTCACATGCGAAATAGATAATTTTAATATAAACGATTTTATTAGAAAATTTTGTCACTCGTAATGTTTGGGGTTTTTGTATTATTTTTACTTTCTTCACTGTGTAACTGTTTTTGTATTGTTGTTTATTATATAGTAGATAGAGAGTGAGATACTGAAAAATACACAGTGAGATATTTTCCATATCTTTTATACTAGTGAAGATATCGATCACGTGACTTTTTCCAATTTGCTTTTGAGCGTAAAATTTCACAATTTTTTGCTTGGGACTATATACTAAACAGAACATTACACGGTGGCTTGAACATATGACTTTTATCTTCTCGTGTTAAAAAAACAATATTGTACTCACTCGCTGCGCTCGTTCGTAAAATATTGCCCGGTTTTCACCACTCTAAGATAAAAGCCATGGCTGTCTTAAGTGATCAAACTGTATTTTGTTGGGTGCTTTCACCATTATCACGCGGTGCTTTCAGCATTAGGCCTATAGCCTACGCGGTGTTTTCAGCATTATACACGCGCCGCCGTGTAATATCCTCTACATATGGATATGAAGATGAGTGAATAAAATTTATTACCTTGCTAGGGTAGGGCAGGGTAGGGTGAGCCAAGAGGCTGGGATATATGTCAAGATGAAAGAGTGTTATATTTGTGCATGAATCACACGGTTATTACCCATATATTGGCATGAGTACGGCTTCGTGCGAACGGGACAATAGTCTTCGGGCAGTGTGCTTCACAGCATTCCATCGCGCTGTTCAAACTGCGCTATAATCCTCGCTATATTAATCTTTCTCACAATATTGCGCATAAAACGTAAAATAACATAGACACATGGTCAATGTCAATATTGTAGCATATAACGACGCCACCCATAGTAAACAACATAATATGAACATACGTTTTACATCAGAGAGGTGACGTCAAAATTGAGTGCAAAAAACGAAGTTTATAAACATGACAACATCGTCTAGTCTCAAAACACGTATAGACCTGTTGCTGTAGAGATTACTTACAGATGTGAAATCAGATTTTGCCTGTAGATGCATGTATGTCAGCGCTTTCGTGCCGGTAAAAACACACCCTACTGGCTATGCGGTGTCTGCTAGAAAATGACGTATATCATATAACATATCATAGATCTTCAGTTAACTTTGTGATAACAAATTGGTTAGGGGCAATTTACACTACACAACTTTTGCCTAAAACTGTCGAATGCAACCTACTTACAACTTGAGTTGTACTGTGTAAATCAAGTACACAACTCACTTAGGTTGTCGTAGGTGTGTTGATTTAGGCCGCGTTTACACTATGACGCTATGGCAAATTTACCGTAGCGTAGTGATTTGCATCCGGAGTGCCAAACGTAGTGGTCTGCAGTTAATACGCTACGGCAAACCACTCCGTTATAGTGTAAACACAATATAATTCCGTAGTTAGTACGCTACGGCAAACCACTCCGTTATAGTGTAAACACAATATAGTTTCAATACTAGAAACGTAGTAAATTTTTAACGGAGTGTTAGCCGTAGCGTCATAAACGCGCGTTACAACTGATGTTATAAGCAGATTGCATGCGACAGTTTTATAGGCAAAAGTTGTATAGTGTAATTTGGGAATCATACTCCGGTACTCCCCCAGTTGATTATAGAAAGCTCAATTGGCAGAGCATCAACTAGTTTGCTGAAATTGTTGTTTGAAATTCCAGCTTGAGTCAATCTTTATAAAACAGTTTGGGTTTTATTTATGAATATATGGTATATGATATCGCACTTCCCCAGTTGACTATAAAGGCCTGATACCGACAGTTTAACAATTCAAGTAGGTCCATTGAATATTTTTAGCTATGGAGGAAAATCGACGGAACCCCAATTATACCCATTGTGAATAAAATCGATAATTTTCTAATTTAAAAATACATTTGGATACAAACCAAGCCAGTATCGAAAAAGCAACAATCCCCTTCTATAAATATACTATACATCCTGAGTGACTGACGTAACCGCAAAGTCAGATTATGGGCAGTCAGCATTTATAATTGCAATATACCCGTGTGAAAAATTTCAAACCGCTACGAACGCCGCAATGTCAAATATTCTTTTTTTTTATTAATTTGCCCATATATCGTAACATACCTATATACATTTCTGATACTTAATTAATTAATAAATAATAATACCAGGAACCTACAATCTTTGACAATATAGATTGGGACAATCTAGTTTTCACATGCATTCGGTTGTAATATACCATTTCCTGATACATTCTTTCCACCCTCCTTCCCCCCACCCGTTTCAATGTTGGCGCCGCGCGTCCAGACATCAGATTTTTGTTGGCCCAACATTGAACTGGGGGAACGGGGGGCGCTATTCCTTTCAAATTATTTGAAATTACACTGAGCAGCTGTCCCATAGTTTCTGGCAAAGATTGTAGTACCAGAAATCTTAACAGGTTTTTATTTAAGACCCTTATATAGTTATAAGAATGTAAGTAGTTGTTCCTAAGTACTGCAGTCAACCAAATGTTAAATATATGACATATATTAGGTATTACAAGTTAAAGAGAGAAAAAGTGAAAAACTATGTACAGTATAAAGTGCTACGTACGTTTGTACATAAATCCTATTTTCGCCTCCAGGGTGGGTGATGATCGTATAGCAAAAACTGAAGAATGTTGTCTATTGATACAAAAAATACTGTCACCATAAAGGTGAACTCCGTACTGATCAGCGAACCAGCTGCCACATACCGTATTTCCTCGATTTAGCCCCCTCTTCTAATTATGAGGCTAAAAAATGTATGAAAATTTCTCAAAATGTTCCTCTAACGATGATTCTGTAACGTGAACATTTACTCCCATGGCCATGCTGCCTCGTTTACCTCCCCTCTTCTAAAAGCCCCCAGTCCAGAACCACTAGCCAAAAATGAAACCAAAGGGGCTGAGCTCAGTAAAGGAAATACGGTATTTTTAATATTTGCAAGAACGGTTAGGACATATATGCCTTTAAAAGAAGAAATCTTACGTCTGTACTCTAAAAGCTCACTCACAATCACACTCAAAGAGTGGAGGTTCCATCTGAGCTTCCCTTGAGTGTCAATGCTGTTTTTTAATAGCTGGAGGGTGAGTAGTCACATAGTAAGGTTAACCCTTCAGCTATTCAAAAATAGCATTGACACTCAAGGGAAGCTCAGATTGAACCTCCACTCTTTGAGTGTGAGCTTTTAGAATACAGGTGTTATACTGATATGGTTATCCAATATAAAGTAATAGTTTAATTTAGGTTCTTTCTTGTGTAACATATGTAAATTTCCTCTCAGTGTAGTGGACCAGGAAGCCGGCCCTGAAACAGAGATCTCATTTTCCTATCTAGAACAGTAGAAGTGAAAAGTTAGCTTAGTTGAATTACTATTTAAGCGTGGAAGAATGCGATTCAAACTATAAAGTTTAAACCTATGGTTCACTATATGTTAATTGTTAAGTCCCGTTCAAACCGCGCCAGCCGTCATGTTGGTCCAATATCGTTCAATGTAACACTGTGCCAGGCTGATCTTGGATCGGGTTTGTTTTTGTTTAAAATTTTCATCCACAATGTCCACCATTCACACCATCAAAGTTGGACGATGTTGAACTCGTTTGAACATAGAGCTTTCGAAGAATTTAGAAAGTACCGAACTAGATATATATAATGCAATCATTCTATCGTATGCTGGTAGATTTATTTATATTCTATTGTATCATGAGTCCTCACGTCTGTTATCATGCTCATATCCTGTTAGTGTTATATTCTGCTGGCAAGATGCCGTTCTTTCATAACTTCTTCAAAACGTGTACAATATCTCGAGTGTTTGCAGGAAACATCATTCTTTGCATATCACTAAGTAGGAATGCGAGTAAAAAAGAAAGACCGTAAGCCATAATATTTTTGTATGTTTGTGTTTTCAAGTACGGATTTCCCGTCAACAGTTTCTGCTTATGAAACTTTTCAAGCTTATACCTTATATGATTGATTCTACAATATGCTGTCATGGTTGGTATTTGAACTAAAAGGCATTAAAAACATTTGAACGTTTCAAGGGATGCAAGGTCTTAGCTAGGATGTAAGATTTTAGGTGTGTCCGCGGCCAATTACCTATAGAATAGCCAAATGGACTCGGTTCCAGTTAAGCCTGCCAAAAATAGACTATGCCGGTGGTCACTATATGTGATTCGACCAAATATTCCTCATTAGTCAATATATTCTTAGTATTTGAAAAGAGTATAGTTGTCCCTTAATATACACTTTTCATATACCGAAAATAATTTATACTTAAGGCCCTGTTACACGGTGCAATTTTTCATGCAACTTGTCTCGCAATGTTTAAAAAAAGATTTTGATAGCGCATTGCAAGAGGTGTTACACGCTGCAATGATTTTCATGCAACTCGCAACGATAGGGGACAGAGGCATGCGAAGAGACTAGGGAGAGGCGCTTTTTGGCGCCAAATTTTAATTAAAGTAAAGCGTGTACTGGGGAGAGCCAATAGGAACTCTCCAAGCTATAAACATTGCGAGACAAGTTGCACGAAGCCATGTTACACGCTGCAATGCTAAAAATAATTAGTGCAATCGTTGCCAAATGTAGAACCGACTTCTACTCTCTGCAATGCTTCATGCAACTTGTCTCGCAAAGATTTTGACCATTGCAAGGCATGTTAAACGGTGCCGCAATAACTCGTGCAACTTGTCTCGCAACGCCATTGCGAGACAAGTTGCATGAAAAATTGCACCGTGTAACAGGGCCTTTAGGTGAACATGTCATTAAATTATTCTCGGTATTTGAAAAGTGCAGGTGCATGAACACGTCCTTATAAATATATCTGCAAGTATAATTTATTCTCGATATTTGAAAAGTGTATAGGTGAACACGTCCTAAATATATTTATGCATATAAATTATTCTTGGTGTTTGAAAAGTTTATGCCAAAGAGTATGACGTTATAAAACAGCAAGGAACAAAAGAGTATGTGCATGTACTTATATATAATCGGATATAAATTTAATATAGTCTTATCTGTTTATATCTAATTCTTCCTACAGGTTCAATAAGGGTCATGCATTTAGTAAGGATCCAGCACAGTAAGAAGACCAAACTAAACTTATTTTATTTACTTAATGGATTATAGACTAACAGTTCTATAGTTCTCCCTAGAGCGATCATTTTTGCTTCACTGTTACTATACCCTGAAAAAAATTGGGTTTTGTTTAGCGACAAATTGGATTCACATTTAGTTTTACCGTAGGTACCGATCGCTGTTCACCAGCCCACGTCTTAAAAATAGTTCTTTCAAAGTAATTCTATTGAACTATATCTGTGATGTGTATAGAAAGAACTGAAAGTCAATTTTCTTTATTAATATATAATTATAAGAGGAACAAAAACGTCTAATTGTCAGTTTTAATGCAGTTCATATTCCTTAAATAAACTATATTTTATGCTGACATTGGCATATAAATGGTCTTTCCGGAGATAAAAGAATTAATTATTCCTTTTATTTCTATATATAGTTTTTATTATCTGCCATATGGCAATTAATCTGCTTGGCACCTTGTTTCATTTGCGACTAAATTTAACCTTTGTCATATCACACATAATCACACTAATTTCAAGTAATTAACGGATAAGCATAATGCCTTTGTCTTGAAAAGCTTAAAGAACTCTTTCTAAAAGAGACTTTGTTGCAGGGCATATTTTTAAATGTAACATGAACATAACAATGCACATATTTTTAAATATTTTCTTTAAGGACTGTTCATATACTTGCAATTTTTGCTGTGATGTTAGGTGCGATTTTCTTCTTCTGATGGATGTGAACGAGTGGATGAGTTATGAATGTTCAGATGAGGGGACATACACTCAGAACATTCATAACTCATCCACTCGTTCACATCCATCAGAAGGAGAAAATCGCACCTAATATCACAGAAAAAATTGCAAGTATGAACGGGTCTTCTGGAAAATATTTAAAAATATGTGCATTGTGTCTGGTAGTTAATTTATTAAATTTGCCAGATAGTATTAACAGTTATTACAAAGTAATAATTTAACGAATTAACTAGACTATATGGCAGGGTATTCGCAACAGCGATTAGCCAATTACTGCGAACCCAAGGACAATACGTTAACATCAAATAGCAAAAAAACTAACAACTAACTTCATGCATTTATACAACTATATATTTAGCTAGCTACGGCAACTGATCATGCTATGATAATAACATGCACTAGCTGAAAAGAAATTGAACAAATCAATGCATGCTACCGACTATCGGTATCGGTATCGGTACTATCGGTATCGGTAGTTAGTATCATAAACGGGCCTGGTAGTCAGTATCATCATTCAAGTAGAAGTCAATAAACTGTGTGTGTTTTAGTTGTAACCAAACTCGAAGATAGTAGGCAACGAACTGCCTTTGCATGCTGGGAACCTCAACGTTTTGCCTCCTATAGTTTACTCCAAGATAAATAGAACGTAAAAAGCACGATTCCTACCAGAGAGCTTAGTATACTGTTCTTGGTTAGGTTCAAATCATGTATAAAATTTACACTCCTACAAAATCCTTCAAATTTAGTTCCATCGAGTGAGATGCCGAGAATAATCCAGATATTTACCGGCCTATATATATAAAAGAGACAACTAGAATATAAACGATGCAAACAGCTTTTGTGCCATCCCTACATGACGCTCTATCATCTGCAGACATTGCGTCGTGTTCCTTCCACAAAAATAGACGCCAGTCACAGTTACCTCATGACGTCAGAACCCAGTGGGTATTCTAGAACATTGTTCTAATATTAGACCACCTATAGTTTGAGAAACACTGAAGATTTAAGAGATATCATGACTATAAGTTGTTTACGCATTGCGTGGGTACATGGTCACCTCGTGGTTCACCCAAGGTTGTAAAAATTGAGATGGAAATTATGACGGCATCGTCGCGATTAACCCTGCATTTTAAAAGCTCACTCACACCTATGCTCACACCATACGCTCACACTCAAAGAGTGGAGGTTTGATCTGAGCTTTTCTTGAGTGTCAGTGATGTTTTTGAACAGCTGGAGAGTTCTGCCCGTATTCTAAAAGCGGACTCACACTCAATGAGTGCGTGGACGTTCAATCTGGGCTTCTCTCGAGTGTCATTGCCATTTTTGAATAGCTGGAGGGTTAGTGTCATACCTTACTATGTGACTACTCGCCCTCCAGCTATTCAAAAACAGCACTGACACTCAAGAGAAGCTCTGAACCTCCACTCTCTGAGTGTGAGTGAGCTTTTACAATACAGGCGTAAATCTTAGATGGTTTACACTGTCAAAGTTTCTGTGATCACAGTAGGAATTTTCCATGGGTAAAATTCTACGTTTTGAAGGATTTGTAAGAAATGTTTTGAGGGAACTGACGTCACTCATTTGTTAAATAATGAGTCCGTTAACCAGTTTCGAACCAACAAATATGTAATCAATTAAAACATGTTTAAGAGTTGAGCAGCAATTAGTCAATATATCTAGATGTATATTAAGTCATTTAACAAATAATTACTGAATATGTCTGGTTACTGATATGAGCTATTTTTAGTTCGTTGTTTGTTTTTCAGTTATAAATTTTTGAATCTGCCTATTGTAGTATAGACAGCGTTTACACTGTACCGTTTTCGTAGCGTTCTCGTATTGTTCGAGAGAACTAGACTATTGTCTTGCGTTCCCTTGAGGATTAAGAACAATACGAGAACGCTACGAAAACGGTACAGTGTAAACGCTGCCATAGATTACTGTAGAATGTTCGAAACCAAAGGTCTCGAGTTCGATTCCTACCGCGGTCAAGCAAAGTTTTCAGCTTGCCCGATGTACGTAGCATAAATAATTTCACATCATTACATTCATGATTATACGACATACACTGATATCCACTTCGAACAGTCTTGACCTCGTAGCTCAATTGGTAGAGCATTACGTCCGTATTGTAAAAGCTCACTCACACTCAATGAGTGGAGGTTCAATCTGAGCTTCTCTCGAGTCCCATTGCTGTTTTTGAATAGCTGGGGAGTTAGTGTCATACCTTACTATGTGACTACTCACCCTCCAGCTATTCAAAAACATCATTGACACTCAAGAGAAACTCATATTGAACCTCCACTCATTGAGTGTGAGTGAGCTTTTAAAATACGGGCGTTATAGACTAACAAACCAAAGGTTGCGGGTTCGATTCCCACCACAGCCAAGCAAAACTTGAGCTTGCCATGTGTGGACACAGTCAAGGTAGCATCATCTCAAATAATTTCACCCCACAATCATTACATTGTAAATTGTTGAATGCTAACTTGTACAGAGCTCCTGCAGTGTTGCTTATACAAGTTACAATTAAGGTATGTGACACATACAGACTGTGACGCCTGAAGATCGCAGTAAACATGAAAACACATTGTATCATTACATTTTAGTTAGAAAACTAACGAACAAGGGCACGCCCCCACCCCGCGCCCACACTGTGCTCTGTGATATAGACTCGTGAGGCCACAGGTTATAGAATTAAGATTTCCCAGGCCTGGGGATTTCCATTAACTGCGCCAAGGCAGACAGCTCAACTGTAATCAATTATAAGAGTTCATGAACTGTCTGCATTAATTTGATAAGGAACTATTTTAGTTTGTTGTTTTGCAGTAAGATTACATATATGGGCTTATTCGGTTTCAGAACTGGGATTTCTAGAGGTTACATGGATCTACATATATGTCAGATAATTCCTTTTCAGAGAAAAATTTTAACTGTGGTTTTCCCTGACCTAGGTAACGTAATCCGATGTTTGCACTGCAAAATTGTGATCTGAAAAAAGAGTTATCTTTGCACTGAATCTTGAAAGATTTTACTGTAATTTGTATCGATACCAAATTAATTAAAAACACCTTTAATTTAAGAAATTGATGTCTCGCATTCACATGCAATTTTCTTCTTGTAGTCCTATAATAACTTAAATTTCTATATATACATACGTATAGATTGCTAAAATTGAAGCAGTTTCTTTGTAGCTTTACTCGCTACCATATATATACAGTGTAATCAACCACGTGTATTCAATTAAGATTCTTAATTAGCAGATAATTACTGAATGTACCTAATGTTTGTCAGATAAGCTATTTTAGTTCCTTGTTGTTATTGTTGTTGCCTGTTGGTATGCTCGCTAACCGTTGGTGTTCTCTCGGTCAGTGTCGTGTCAAACAGACTGAGATCAAGCTAGCAAAACATTTTGACATGCTCTGCTTTTAGCTGGCTTGCAGGTTGCTGTAGTTTTGGCAGCGCTAAGAACCACACATTTAAAAACATAAATGAACAACCTCTGCATGATCCATTGATACTGCTGACTGCATGTGGCGCATGTACAACAAATACTTTATTTAACACATAATTAATGAATACGCGCGTGTCTGCATCGTCTGCATCAGATAAGTTATTTTAGTTCCTTGTTGTTTTTCAATGCACTTTTAAATATGATTATTTTGTCGTGCGCTATATGGGTGATTTTTACGTCAGATATAAAAAATAGTTGCATCTGCATAAATTTTTTTATAAATTTATTGCCAGCTAGAAAGCCACTTCTCGCCACTTTCAATTTGACATACATAAATATAAATATATACCTAAATATTATTACAATAATCAATGTAAATAACTGAAAGAAGTGGTAAATAAATTGAATTGAAAAAAAAGATACGAGATCCTTCCCTCTATAAAACTCAACTAGATATCATTTGCCAAAACTATAGCTATATGTCGTCTGAAAAGTATTAATTCTCAAACTAATATATGGTAGTCCATATAGATTTATTAAGTAGTCATGCTGCGGCCATGCTGCTTTCTATTCGTTTCAAAATGGAACTCGTTACATTAGATATACTGAAATCATGTTACAAACATGTTATAAATATCGCACTAGAGCTTAATATTTGGTGAAGTGCGTTCTTGCTAGTTGAGATTAAATTAGTTAAAATAGGGCCATTTATACGAGCAAAAATAAGCCGCGGCCTAAATAAGCCACGGCTTAAATAAAGGCAATTTTCCATTCCAGTCGCTTTGCCCGCGCGGGCGGAGCGGGCTTTGAAAATCTGCTCACGCGGGCGTGACGGGCTTCAAAAATAATGAACGCTTCGCCCGCGCGGCGGGCAAAGCGAACGTTAATGGAAAACGGCCTTAAGCCCAGGCTTGAAAGCTATGCCTAAATAACTTAAATAAGCCGCGGCTTATTGGAAATTGACTGTTTATACGAGCTGTTCGCGACTTATTTAAGCCGCGGCTTATTTAGGCCGCGACTTATTTTCGTTCGTATAAATGGCCCTAATATCTACCAGTGAAAGCCAGTGATCTCTATATATACTGGAGCAAGAACTTGAGTCATTCGATCTATGAGAAAAGTGAAGCCAAGATAGCGAACATTGACGTCCAATATCCCTGCAAGTCGTAAACAGTTTTTAATTTTTTTTATACCATTTTCCCCAGCTAATTCCAGTTTTTTCTAACGTATCGCTAACTAAGTTATAAGTTCATAAAACCATAGTGATCTTCTTTAAATCAATGTCAAAAACTCATTAATAATTCATGAAGCAATTATCCAATCTTGAGTAAGAAATTAGTCACGTGCATACGTCTTTATACCAGCTAAAGAACACTTTAACAAAAGACCATTGTTATGCAAACTATATAAAGATTATTATATAAAGATTTTTATATAAAGATTTTTATATAAAGGTTTTTATATAAAGATTTTTATATAAAGATTTGACTGATTATGCAAACGTTTTTGAAGCCATTTAAAAAACTCACAGGTCGTGTTTTATTAGGTCTAAAGCCACTCGCGCTGCGCGCTCGTGACTTTAAACCTAATAAAACACTCCTGCTCGTTTTTTAAATAGTACGTCAAATACTAGCTTTTAACGGTACTCGAGATAATAACTATTGTATATAAAAGTAGGTATCCAAAGCTATAGCTGTTCTATAATACTATAAAATCAGCAAATTGATCAGGGGCTGGTTGTATAAAAAAGTGATTAAAGTTAATCATAGTAAAGTCGAAATGTCATCCAATAAGAAGCGCGTATTTGAGAGTTAATCACTATTTAACTACAAAATAGTGATAGAAAAAGTGATTAAGAGTTTTATACAACTGGCCCCTGAATGTTAATAATGTTCGCTCCACCTCTCATATTATTAGAAAAATGTATGTTTGATGAACTGAAACTACTCGTCACTCATTCTATGCCAATGTTACGTATACAAAAGTATGTTGTGGTCTGTGGATCAATGAACTTCTATGATTCCTGGAATTTCAACGATGGATAACAAAGAAAGGCAAAATCTGATCCGATTTTTCAATGATAATCATTTCACCACTTGCATTGGCAGCAGGTGCAATTCCAGGCTGGTTATGTAGCAACACTTTTTTGGAATTGTAGCCGGCGGGTATATTACAGTTAGTAGAATCCACAAATTCCTTTCCAGGGAGAATGCGACACAGGAGCAGTCCGCTACCATAACCTAAACTGATTGCCGGGTACTCTGAGAAATAGTTGCCTCTACCACGCGCTTGTCTTTGGGCGAAACTCAACTGCAAGTTAGTTTGCAGGATATTATCAATGTTTGCCGGTGCAGTACCATGATAGGCAAGGATTTCGTTGTCAGGAATTCCCAGGAGTTTGAATAATCGTTTGGTTGCTTCGAATTTTCTTTCAAGAGTCTTGTTGATGACGATATCAATGGAGGAAATTGTGACAGGTTGTAGGTTAGTTTTGGCAGCCATTCTTCTGAAGTGGGACTCAGCAAAATTGTAGTACATTTCAAACGGGTCTTGAAAATTCACTGCTCTCGATGCTTTCATATTCGTTTTGAGAAATGGTTGGGTTGTCAGCGATGTTGGCGACGGTGGTACCAAGTTATTGGTGGAAGAGAAATGAATGATGTATTGAGGAAGTGCTTGGTCAGGATCAAAGATCACAAACTCATCATTCTTCACAGCTGATCCTCGAGGAGCATACACGGAATCACATCTTTCAGATCTTAACCTCATCTTGTTCAAATTGTAGTCGGCCTGGTGAACTTCCTTCGACTTTCCAAGAAGAACTTGGCAGAGGAGAAGTTTTTGAGAACCTTTGGTGTAGATTTTTTGTGCGCTCTTAGAGGAATCCGTGGCGAAATAAATTCCTTGGCCATACATTCCACGTTTGGAGCCTGGTGGAGGATTCTGATCTGGCATTCTGAAACCATCTTTTGTGATACCCTTCACACCATTATCATCCGTACCATGGAACTTTTCATCAATGTGAACACCAAATGCTTTAGACTTTGCTGCTTCAAATTTCTTCTCCAAATTAAGGTTGGTAACTTTTTCGATCTTGGTGACTTTAGGGAACCAGTTGTGCATTGGTTGTACGAATTTCACTACCTTATCGTTAACTTTTTGATATTCTGCGGAGTCAGGACCAGTAGGGGAGATTTCATCGATTGAGAATATAGTAACCAGATTCTTGCTGATCTTATCTTCGAGATCCTTCACTCTCTTCTTCGCGTCTTCGTGGAATTTCTTCATCTTTTCTTTGTGGATATCATGACAATTCTTGCAATCACCCTTCTCGCAGTCTTCTCCGCATGTGTTTGCACACGGATGACCGCATTGCCTCCGTTTGGTACAAGGTACAGCACATTTCACGTCCCCGTCCTTCTGATAACATTGCTTCTGGAGTGGATGTCCACAGGACCCGTTGAAGTACACAATGGCAGTGCAATTCCAAGAGATAGTTTCAGAACATTTCTTCTTTTTGGGCGAAGGATGATTACAACTTGGGAAACTGTAGTCGACCATTTTTTGACAGTTGTTATGGTCATGAAGCTTACCACACTGATTTACACATCGATGTATGCCACAGGAATTTTTCTCCTCACACTGTTTCGTGCAAGGGGGATTCTCTTGATAGCATTGCTTATCGATTTGATGACCACAGGGTCCGATGAGGCACACAATGGTTTTACATTTCTGAGCCATTGGTTCAGAACACTTCTTCTTTCTGGGTGAAGGATGATTACAGCCCGGGAATCTGTAGTCGATCATTTTGGGGCAGCTGTCATGGCCATGCCGCTTGCCACACTCGTTGACACAGCGATGTATACCACATGAATTTCTTTCTTCACACGGGCGGGCACAGGACATGTCTTCAATCTTCACATAACATTTCTTCTCAATTTCATGACCGCATTTTGGAAAGGTTTCAGTGACTGGTTCATCGCAAAGGATATCGCAATTTCTTTGATGACATTGCTTATCAGCTTCGTGTCCACACTGCTCCAGAACAACTCTGACTTCTTTCTTACAAAGCAGTTCGTAAATATCTTGTTGGCATTTGCGTTTGACCAAGTGGTGACACTTTGGGAATATGTCAGTAACAATTTCAACACAACCTGCGTGATTATGCCGAGGTAGACACGATCTCTTACAACGATGTTTACCACAGGGATAAAGATCGCCACACTTCTCCTTGCAGAGAAGTTTAGGATTATCAATGACTCCTTTGACTTGGTCTCCATCTTCTGCATCACATCTTGATGTGGCATGTTTGGAGCATTGAAGAGGCATGGCATTCCCAGCGCATTCCTGTTCGATCATTTTATGTATCATGGTACTCCAACAAGAATGCTTCGCGTTGATAAGGAGATTCATGTTTCCGACGAAGTACATACCACATTTGGCTCTGGACTGCGCGACGCAACGGCGATTCAACTCCTTCAAAAATCCAATTCCACCATACGTATTTGAACGTACAAGCGAAATAATGACGTATTGATTTTCATCTCCTTGGAACATGTCGATTGTTTGCACTTGGATAAATCCCTCTTTCTCTCCATTGCCGTCGTCAATTTCTTGAAATAGTTCCGGATGTTTTTCTTTGGCTTGTTTCATCAAGTTTCGAAGAAGTTTAGTCTGTCCGAGGTAGGCTGCCAGAACTGTGATCTCAGACGGACGGCAGCCGCTCCATAGCAGATACAAAACCAAAGCCATGATACGTTCTGCTTCTTTCGCGTTGGTATAAGTGCGATCTCTCTTCTCGGGATCTCCATGAGCCCAGAAAAACATTGACTTTGCGATGCATTTCAACGGCTCGTTCTTTAACACTATCTCGAGGTTATCTTGTAATTTCGGGTAGATATCTTTTAGTAGAGCTGAAAATTCAGGACGCATTCGGTTTTGCTTGGTCAGGGTTTTGTACGGGAATCTAGAGTCGATTAATCTTTCCATCATAGACTTATCAAACTGATAGTTCGTGCGCAGTTGGTACGTATCAACTTGTGGTCTGAGTTGTTTGTGGTCGCCAATCAGAATGAGGTGCTCAATGGATGAGGTCAGCGCAGCCAGGAGACTGGGTTCAAGAATTTCAGCAGCTTCTTCAACGATGACGACACTTGGACCAATCTGATGAATAAGATCATGATTAATAGACGCTCCTGTGATGGTCACACCAATGATCTTTTTCTGTGACAGCATTTCAATTTTCTTATTCATTTCCAATTCCTCTTTTCGATTCTTCAATATATCAAGCTTTTCAATAAGTTGGTCAAACTCTTCGGACGTGCTGGATGTCTTTTCGCTCAGAATACAGTACAAAAACTGCAATCTCTCAACCTTGTCTAAGTTCCATAGATTTTTCACGGAACGAATTTGTGGACCGACTTGCATATCGTTGGGGTAGTCGGAAATGTCGATCAGTACATCTTTGGTTTTGTTGGGTGTGCTGGTGGTGTCGTTGTTTTTCTTTTTGCTCTTGTTATCAGTGGTTGTCTTGAAGGATGTAAAAAGAACCAAACCATCTCGTGATTTCTCACCTTGCTTGAAGCCAGAAAACATTCTTCTTTCAAGCATTTCCCTAACGTGTTCTTCATCACCACTGTCTTCGTCATCTCCATCATCAGCGTTTGATGTACTTGCCCCATCTTTCTTGCTACCGCCGTCCGTGGTCTCCCTACGAACCCGATAAACATACTCGGACTGAAATGCTTTCATGCGTTGAGGTTCTTGTCTGTCGGGGAACCACGCTTGAAACGCCCTGTCGAACAAACTAAAACAAAGTGTGTATTGTGCGGCATTTGGGTCATCTTTTGCCACTGCTCTGTTTAAATACAACAGCAAGGGATCTTTAATGGAGCCAAAAATTTGTACAATATGTGCCACCAATGCTTGTACCCCAGACTTGTCGATATTCTTCTTATTTACTTTCTGGACCAGAGGTGTTTCTACGAGAATTGAACGTAACTGATCTTCGCTAAGCTCAGCAATCAAACTCTTCTTGGTCAAATGACTGCTTGCATCCATTTGAGAGGAAAGCACCTTGATTTGTGTTTCCACTTCACGAATTTCATCTCTGGTTTCTTGAATCTCAGCATACATTGCTTTGCTGTAACTCTTGTCCCTCATCAGCGATCTCATGATTGACTGAAGATTACATTCTTCCAACTCCGGCTCCTTCGACCTGCTCCCAATTCTAACTAGATCATCTTTTTGACAAAATTCCAACATGTGTTTCAGGAACTCGTCAAGGGCGTGGTTCTTGTAGGTCAACAGTAAGATGGGTTTGTCCAGCTTCGGAGTAAGAGATAACAACAGCTGAACGATTTTGACTCCGATGAATGTCTTCCCACAACCTGGTGGACCTTTAGGAAAGAATGATAAAACACAAGTGTTCAATGAGAATAATTCTTGCGGTGTTTTAAAGGCACAGTTCAGCCTGTTGAACGATGGTTTTTAAGGCGCATTTCAGCCTCGTTAATTGAAAAAACTAACTAGGAAAATCAATTAAGCATAATTCAAGATCACCAAACTTAATGTTTTTAACATTTTAAAACATTTATATTGTTAAAAACATCGAGTTTACGGATTTTGAATTATGCTTAATTGATTTTCCTAGTTAGTTTTTTCAATTAAAAGGGCTCAAATGCGCCTTAAAAACCATCGTTCAAAAGGCTGAACTGTGCCTCTAATGGTGTCTGAATGTTCACTGCATTTCAACACAAGGTCTCTGGCTTAACGCAGAACCTTTCTAATTTCTCAGCTACTGACCTGATTGAGATACTGGAATATTTATATGTATGCATTAGAAATATATATGCATCTAACGAGAGGGATATACGATCCAAACATGCGACGAGAGGTCATATTCATTCTGTGGCTTTTGCAACTGGACATGCTAATCTATGTTGGGCCGTTGCAAAACTGCTATCTTTTCTACAATAATTTCAAATCAAAATACGATATATACCCTTAATTTGTAATCATATTGTAAAGGAGGTCTGAAACCCAATCTCGTTTCCCGAGGTACCAGTAAAAACAGTATCCGATCCCGACCCCATGATGAGATTATCTTACTTATTGCCAATTGGAAATGATGTCTGGTGCATCCGTCCACATATTGGCATATCTTCGAAAGTTGACACTACAAACATAGACAATAATGGTAACCGTACCTTGTACAATGGCCAATCTATTCATGAGAGCCTGTTTCAATGCTTCACATTGACTTGCTTCCAGGGATGTACTAGAATATATATTAAATACTTCTAGAAACCGTTGGAAGTCCATTTCTCCCTTAGAGATATCATTGCCAGATTGCCAGTCTCTTAATCTGCTTTTTGGATCGGATTTGTATATCGGACGTGTGTTCACCGTCTTTGCTTCCTTCAGATAGTCGGGCAAATCAGGCGTGGAGCATGCGTAGATGACTTCTTGTTGAAGTGGGAAGTTTTCCATGTCGAATTCCTTTAAACTTCGTAGGACAGGACTGAGGGAGTGGTAGTAGGTCGGTGATTCTACCATGACTCCAGAACCTGTATTCAATATTATGAAATATGTTTACATGTGTCATTACTAGTTCCCTCATCAGGAGTATAAACAACAGGACTATCGTCATCACTGATTGCATATAAGGTATATTATGTACTAGTTAAAACATGAGCAGCCGATCTTTATCTGATATTCAAAAACTCATTAATAATTCATGAAGTAATTATCCAATCTTGAGTAAGAAATTAGTCACGTGCATACGTCTTTATACCAGAACACTTTAACAAAAGACCATTGTTATGCAAACTATATAAAGATTTTTATATAAAGATTTTTATATAAAGATTTTTATATAAAGATTTTTATATAAAGATTTGACTTATTATGCAAACGTTTTTGACTTATCATGCAAACGTTTTTGCGCTCGTAGCTTTAAACCTAATAAAACACTCCTGCTCGTTTTTTAAATAGTACTTCAAAAACTCATTAATAATTCATGAAGCAATTATCCAATCTTGAGTAAGAAATTAGTCACGTGCATACGTCTTTATACCAGCTAAAGAACACTTTAACAAAAGACCATTGTTATGCAAACTATATAAAGATTTTTATATAAAGATTTTTATATAAAGATTTTTATATAAAGACTTGACTTATTATGCATACGTTTTTGAAGCCATTTAAAAAACTCGCAGGTCGTGTTTCATTAGGTCTAAAGCCACTCGCGCTGCGCGCTCGTGGCTTTAAACCTAATAAAACACTCCTGCTCGTTTTTTCAATACTGTACTACAAACTCGAGCCGAAGGCGGGAGATGAGATAAATTTAGATCGGATGCGAATGTTTTAACGTGCTTAAAAAACAACCCATCTTATGAGTTCATTGGCGAAGTAATTTTAAAAATAAACATGTCTAAGCCTTGTTTCCATATTAACTTATTTTAGCATGTCAAGGGCAGATAAAGATTATATTCCCATGTTTTCCTGGACGAATTTGTTTCTTGTTGTTCTCTAGGCTCAATAACAAAGCAATTTTCAACCCTGAGTAAACCCTTTTCAAAACATGAGTAAGTATTTGACGTGAAAACGAGACCATTGGGTAAAAAAGAATAATCGGTAAGGTCTATTACCTGCATGAGCTTGTAGAGAACTTATAATCTCGCTCATTTTCTTGGTGTTCTCATCTATCAACTCCAGCATAATGATCTGATGTTTGTTCAAGATATCTGCATCCCTATTGGACACCACAGCCCAAATGACGTCATCAAACTTCCGGTTTAGCGATATGCACACCAAATTCCCGAACATGAGTTGAGGCGAGGCCTTCCAATTCTTGATCATCCTTCCTGGCGTGAAATAAATAGCGAGAGAAAATCGGCCATTTTGGATTTCAAATCCAGCCAGATGCACATTATGATACACGTTCATATCTCTTTCATCCAGTTCGCATGCTTTGAGATCTTTTATCCCATGTTGGATAGCGGAAAATGTCTCTGCTCGGAGCAGTCTGAAGTATGTGTCCATGTAAGATTCTGGATCCAGGTAGGAATTCTTCACTGGAGAAAGGTGTTTGTCTGCTTCGACCAAATTACCAGCCAACTCATTTTCAGTCGGAATAAATGGTAGCTCCTGCCAGACGCCTAAGAACATTATGAAATATTTAACATTGTTACAGGAATATTATTCGAAAATCCTGAATAATTGGAACACATTTTATGAGAGATAGTTATTTGTTACAGATAGGAGCCTATTAGGAGAGAGCTTATATTTTTGCCCCGGCCCCCCACCAAAGTAAGCAAGAAAGACAATAAAGTTGATCTTCCAGGCGAATTTATAAAATTTGTTACATTGTTGTGAGACGGAGGGAAAAATACGGTACTAATATTGCATTTTTAATTTTTGATAAAGTTGAATAAATAAATAAATAAGCGCACACCTTCATCACCAATCATAGTGCTTTCTCCAGACAGAGCTAGGGATAGAATACTACATACAAAACTCTTTGGGTTTGGTATTTTCTCACTAATCGCTGTCACTGTAGGCAAGAGACAGCGAGCGACAGACGGGACTTGGCCAACGACATCTTGACAAAAACTCCGAAAACGCTCAGCAGATATTGAGTGTAGTTTCACATCTTTCAAGTAAAATTTATCTCTGTCAGCGTGATATATGCCAGACTTAATCATTGCAGGAATACTGTTATCATCTGATGCTTTAAACAACATCCCCTGTGTCACTGTCTTAACCGTTTCTTCCAAAAGTGTTTTGTAAGCTTTGCCAACACGTAAAATTAACTTGAGTAAATCTAACAAATCTTTGATGTAATAGACTCGTGCAGGCTCCTCTGTAAGAGAACAAAAAGTTTTAAAATATTAGAATGGTTTGAAATTCATAACAAATATTGCGGTTATACCAAATTGAACTTACCAGCAAAACTAGGAGATCCAAGAAAACTCCACATAACTGTACTGGATAACGTTTCCATAAGCACTTTCTTACAATCAGCTGATTTTAAATCTTCAGTCAACTTCGTGATGTAGTCTATCAGTTCTTGGGAAGTTCGCGGTGAATACTGGATCACCTTTACTTTTCGCGCCATTGGCCTTGCTTTATCTCGGTCACCGAGGACAAACTCCACGAAATCTCCGCCTTTCACGGGTAAGACATACTTAGATATGTTGTCTGGATGCAAGTACACATCTTTTTGTGTGAATCCCTCTGGCAGGGTGTTCAAGGGCTTTATAAATATAGACTTCTCGCTTCTGATGGGACACAATGTTCCCTTACGCCATTGTGTTTTATCTTTTGGTTGTAGAACCACAGTTTTCCCTTTATTCTTTTGTCGTTTCATGGTTCGTTGCTCTCACCTGTAAATATCAAAACGTAGAATCATTTTAAATAGCGTTAGCAATCACGTGTTACACTAGTCTCACACTGATTGGCTGAGATGATTGTAATCTTCAAATGTTCGTCACAAATATTAAAGTTTCCCATGAGAAATTGAGGAGAATGGACAATGTTTTTTTATGTGCGACTGTTATCCTAGATGCATTCTTATTGCCGCCCGCCATTCTTAAGGTTTGCTGTGTAGCCTGCGTATAAGGCGCCACCTGCAAGCAAATAAACGCCTACATGCAGGCTATTGGCTGTGTGACTTGAGCCATTTTTAACAATGAAAATCTAAATAAGCAATTTAACACTGTAAAATATCAGGCTATGATATACAGACCCAGAATTATAGCGTTTTAACCAATCAGAATTTGGTATTGTTTAAATGTAATTTTAATGGAAGACAACGTGTAATTTTGATTTTATTTTTATTTTAAAAATTTTCCCCATGTACAATATATTTATGTGTGGTATATTTACAATAATTGTAGAGTGCGGGGCTAGAGACCTACTAGAAATCTTCGTAGACTTTTTATTTAGGTCTCTAGTTATGCTAGTTTGTATTATATTATGTAATAAATTATTTACAGTCAATCACAATATTAAATAACAACATTCCAACATTCCAACTTTCTGATGAAGGCTCGAAGTACCGAGTCGAAAGCTCAAAACATTTAAATTAGAATCCAGAGAACTAAATAATTTGTAGAATTATTCAATTAATAAAATGCCTGGATTACAAATCTTCAACTCTATTAAATATATATATATATATATATATATATATATATATATATATATATATATATATATATATATATATATATATATATATATATATATATATATATATATATATACATACATACATACATACATACATACATACATACATATATACATACATACATATATACATATATACATATATACATATATACATATATATATATATATATATATATATATATATATATATATATATATATATATATATATACATACATACATATAACATATACATATATAACATATACAATACATATACATATAAATATACAAAAACATATACATATGCATATATATATATATATACATATGCATATATATATACATATGCATATATATATATATATATATATATATATATATATATATATATATATATATATATATATATATATATATATATATATATATATATATATATATATATATATATATATATATATATATATATATATATATATATATATATATTTAATATA